TTAGTGGCCGATGTCAGACTTTGCGATTGGAGCGATTTTGCACCAATTGCAGGAGCGACGGATCGCTTGAGCGATGCGAGCGACGGGAGATTTACGAACTGATGGCGCCGAATTATCGTTGGTCGGCGGTGTAAATCTCCCGTCGCTCGCATCGCTCAAGCGATCCGTCGCTCCTGCAATTGGTGCAAAATCGCTCCAATCGCAAAGTCTGACATCGGCCGTATAACTTGTATAATGTATGCGCGGTTGATAAGCTACTCCGAACACGGCTTTGGCTGATATCCGCGGAGTTACCTCATCCATAACAACACCTATCAGTGCAGTGTGCTTGCCACATCATTTCCGCTTTGTGAACGAACTCCCAAATCACCACTTCGAGATATCGACCGTACCTAGCTTTCTATCCTCCCAGTCAGTACGTACCTAATATTTCCAGCTGAATCTCCCAATTTCCAATCGCCCAAACTCCTAATTTGCTAAATCGTGAAGTATGAACATGTCCTAACAAATAGTACTCGATTACTTTAGGCACTATCCAGTGCGTACTCGATCAGTACTAGATTCCACCTACTTCTATGTAGAAACCGGAGAAAAACGACCCATCAATCATTGCAATCTCAACCATCTCGTCAGATACTATCAGGTGATACATACTAACTTAACCACTGCAAGCGTTCACACAATAACCAACAGGAATTCAGATTAACGCTCAACGTCATCCGGACCACCAAGATTACGCCGACCCATTCCCATGGTGGGAAGTGCCATCATGATACCGACGCCAATTCGCTCAACATTTGATTTTTTTGAGGCTCACAAATTTTGTAATTCTTCCAAGCTTAGTCTGATGGAAAATAAAAATCATTCTTACTAAATTTTGGTGAACCGAGAATATCCTGCCTCGAGGAGATTGCACGTACAACTTCTCAGAAGAGCAATACGCTTGACATGAGTGAGACCAAACTATCACAACACCTTTTTTTCAAGATACTTGCAAAAATGAATGAACAAAAACAAAATTCACTGAACCTAAACTAGTGTACCACATTCAAAATGAAATATTACAAATGAACGCAACGATTTCCTTATCCAAACAGCATCTAATGCTGTGCGTTAGCAAATCTCTCACTGATATTCTTCCAGTTAGCAATCTTCCAGATAGCCTTCACGTAATCAGGACGTACATTTTTGTACTGCAGATAATAAGCATGCTCCCAGACGTCAATTCCGAAAAGGGGAATCAGCCCAGTGGTCGGCTCAAGAGGATCTTGGTTAGCGCAGGTTTGGATCTGGAAATACCGCTTTCAAAAAGTTCATAAAAAAGAAAGCATTTACCATAGCTCATTGCTAAGATGCTAGCCTCGTTAAAATTTCTACTCACCCTCAGTCTCTTGCCGACGGGGCAATAGCCGAGCCATCCCCATCCAGATCCTTGAACAGCAATTGTAGCTGCGGACAACTTTTCTTGCATAGTCTCTAGCGATCCAAAGTCTCGCTGAAATAAACACTCTCATCATTGGTGTTTACAGTTTTCCGTGAAGTACGCGATACTACCTTTATTGCGGCCATGAGATCACTACTTGGCTCTCCTCCATCTTTCGCTAGATTAGTCCAAAAAATGGAGTGATTGATGTGGCCTCCACCATTGAACTTCAGTGCTGGTTGCAGAGCAATAGCTTCCTTTATGTTACCTAAATAGCATGTAAAACTAAAAAACTGCTCCAATAAGCTACACCGGCTGCTAATAGAGATACAGGACCGATCTCGTCATTCCAAAACTAATGAGAAAACAATGAGCAGAAAAGGAGGAGAATCAAAAAACGCATAGTAAAAAGTAAAAAACAACGAAAGCAGATACAGAACGCCTGCTCACCTTTGGATAAAGCTTCGTGGATTTTCTCTTCACAAGCGTTCAGATTGTTTACGTATGTGGCATGATGTTTCTGATGATGAATTTGCATGATCTCATTGCAGATGACGGGCTCCAAAGCGTTGTAGTCATATGGAAGATCGGGGAGACTGTGCTTTGCTCTTGACCTTTACGAATAAAAAAACTTAGTACCTTACTCAGAAAAAGCAAAGAAATAACTCACGAAGAGAGCACCGAAGTACGGCACAGGGACCGAAGTGACCGAGATAGCATCGCCTGCAATTGGAAGCTTTCATGCTGGTTGAATGGATTACTTCATATCGCTCTATGCACGACTTTCACGACATCGCAACAAAACCAATTCGATTTGATATAGAACTGCCGCAATAGAAGCGAACAGTACAACACGAATTCCTTCCACAGAAGAGTTCAATAAGGAAAGTCGTATTCCAAGAAATCGGTCTTAAAAACTGACAATTGCTTTCACACATCGCAAATAAGTGGCGGGCTTTCAGCAAAAAACTAAGTCAGCCTTGTGGACAGCAACTCGAAAAGAGTAGGCATCATTGACATAATCAAAAGTGGCTTACTGAACGGGGTTTCACGGATAGTGTTGAATAAAAGCAGTAAACTGAGGAGTGAAAGGGCATAAGTGAGGTTTATATGTCGACGTTGGTACGATGATGCGATGAAAAGACATTAGTTTTTTACAAGCTGGAACGCAACATGATAGCACAGTATGCAAAAAATACTTATGGACTTCCGGTCATCCTTTTGTTGTTAAGACGCTGTTTTGTTTGTCGCAGCATCCCATTAGAAATTCTCCACCTCCCCCACACCCTTTCCCCTATTTTCGCATGGAGACAAATTCATTGTCTATATCTTGAGCTAGGGTGTACAAGCTGAACGAAACTGATCCGCATTTGTCGTCAAAAGCAGGTTCAACAAAGAAACAAAAATCAATGCTAAAATGTGAGAGAAACGAAATGCGAAATTCGGAAACGAAGAGGATTGTAAGAAACGCTAAACTTCTTCTGAATGAGTGACTTGCAAGACATTACGAATGACAAACTGCAGGCGTATGCGGAAGACTGAAAAACGACTGGGCAATTCTCAAGCGTTCAAATAAAACAACTGGAGCCGGAGGCGTTGTACAACGTCTGCCGACAACATTATTTTCCAAGAGTGAACTTGTGGACTCCTAAAAGGACTGCTACTGTCAAAGGGGAAAAGATAACGTTGTCTCCAGCAAACCATTTACAGAATCGATGTTCGTTCTTTTATCTTCTTATTAGGTCACCAGCTACCTGCAATATTGTACAACAGACAAGGGTTGTGAACTCTGAAGCACCATCTTTGCTGTTCAATCCAGCGAATGTGGAAAGAGATATGTACACGAACCGTTTGTATTAGCCATCCTCAGCACTGCTCAGCGGCCACAGGAACGAAAGGAAATAGCGAAGATCCTAGCAACCGATAATTTGAGGAACATAATAAAACAACAGGAAATTTTGGAAGGTAAAACTGCAAGTTCGTCCGGAGTACCGTGTGACAATGAATAAGCCACGAAATGTTAGGACCATTTGAGACGCTCGTCAAAACTTTTCCCGAGAAATGCCGACCAAAAACAACCCCAAAGATAGGTAGCCGATTTTTATGAAAGTAACAACGCCAGACGAGACCGCGTTGAACAATTTTTCTGTGAGCAGGATAGAGTGTCCGATTAGGCCATTGTCGTTGCTTGACGAGTGCGCACGCCTGCATCTACAACAGGAGCAGTTACGGATAAGGGAGCTGTTGCACAGACACCTTCGCGCACACCCCATGACCGCACGCCGGATTACCCACGTCGCGGTGATTCGAAATCGGAGGATATGATCCATTGAACAAAACATGTTTAGACAACTCGACAAGCCCTCCTTCATCCCCGAGGGAAAAAAGCTTCATTTCTTCATTTTCAAACCAACTGGCATCCAGAATCCCTTTATCAAGTGCTGTTACCCCGCAAATTTGGTTGAGATCGTTATTTCACATTCTCACTGGAAATCTTAGTTGACTCGGTACCCCTCTTATGAAAAATGGTGGATGAGCCAATGTGGTGCAGTCAAGTTGAATTCCTCACCTGTACAGATGCGCAACACCTGGGCATAGGTGAAGATCGACTCTTCGGTAGGTTTCATCCATCCGCACCACTACATCGGGAAAAACACAAGAGCAACAAGAGATAGCGACCCGGCAAACGTGTGATCAAGGTTATCAGCGAATATGGAGCCGTCCTAGAGTGATCATGAGATCGGTTTGCGGCAAACCGCCCTGCCTAGCACCCATTTTTGATAACCTCTTACCAAGGTCGACAATGCGATTCTGAAAAGCGCTGTGAAAGTCCACATCGAATGAAACGTAGATCAAGAATTGTTCTTAAACCAGGGTAGGGGTCAGATATTGGCACTCTTACATATGACAAGATTGTATGGAAAGAACACTGGTAGTAGGCAGTATCAAGCGATCTCCTTCAGCTAACATACAACTCGAAACAGGATAACATATCAAAAACAACTACAACATCAAGGAATGGAACAACGCTTCTGACGACACTAGAAAAGCAAGTTGTGTAGTTAAGAGTTGAGTTTACCTGCTGACAAAAGATTCAGGACGAAATCTCATCTGGTGCTATACAAGTGGGGTGGGCACGCCCAGCTTTTCACGCATGTCAAGTGACTGCCCTCACCCCCCACCCCCTAGATTGGCTACACTCCCCCTGGCTCACGAATTCCCCAATTCTCGTGACAGTATAGTAGCGGTAGCAGTCCCACTGACATACATTTCTGTTCAAAAAATGCGGCGTGCCCACCCTACTTGTAGCACTCAATCCTGATGAGAATACACAACATACAAGATTCAAAACTACCAAATCTGCTCTTCAGTTGCATTCTATCCCAGATTGCCATCCTTACGCAAATAACCCCTAATCTATTCGCCCAATTTGCAGAACACCGAGTCGAATATAAGGCCAAAACAAGCAGAACCAAAAAACATGTCGGAACTGTTGCCAGCCTCTGCAAACTAGATATGAGACTTCAAGTGCGGATAAAATTTATGTCTGATGCTTCACAAATAAAGAAACCAATACTTGCATTTAAAGCAACAATCCAGGAACGAATTCGGGTAAGGACCACCTATAATGACGTTGCAGGTGAGAAGTTGGTCAATGGAGAAAGAAAAAGTAGAAAAAAACGTCGGGCAGGGGCTTAGACAGGGACTCCCCCTGCCGTTTAGGGAGACGTGCGTTGGACGAGTTGTCCGAACCTGCCCTAGTACATGCGCTCCAATTGCAACTGCTGGCAAATAGCCATGCATGCTTGCAAATACATAACTATTTGCCAGCAATCGAAATTGAAGCGCTTAAGTTGCGCTCTCATGGAATCGACCTGATACAGCGCGGCGGTCCCGCAACGACCGCTATTCGAGCAAGCGCTCTTCACAGCAGCAAGGAGGCGGGTCAACCGAGGCTCGGTTGACCCGCCCTTTTCGACGAACTTCGAGCCCTTCTCACGCATTTCAGAAGTGAGTTTTTACTTCAGTGACAGTTCCTTTCGACTTCACTTGGGCTGGGGCATGCTTCCACACCTCAGCTTTGGATTAGTTGAAACCCTCCCTGCACTGTTGCTTTAAATGGAAATTATGGAGCCAGAAACTCATTAGTACGAGTGATAAAAATTTTTTGACGGCCAGACTAGATAGTAAAAACGAGTAATAGGAGAAGACGCGCTAAAATAACTAGCCCGTCATTAGTTCTCACGACGGAAATTGAGATAGTGCTGATAATGAAAAAATCTTGACTGAGTTATTACAAAAAAGCAAGTAGATTACTACATGCGCATGCTAGCTTACTTGATGGGCGCACGCATAGTCGGTCGGACGACAGCAACGATCGTAACTGTCGCACAGCATTGGATGCGTATCGATCGTCGGACTTGCCTGAGTATTCGACGATTAGATGCAGTTAGACAGTCAGACAGTTGCGATCGTTGCTGTCCGACCGACTATGCGTGCGCCCAAACGGCACGCGAACATCGCGCTTCTGTTCGTATGCGCTTCAAGCGCTTAGTCGTAGGCCACTGTATTTCGATATTTCGTCGCGGCAGCGATGGAAACAACCCCTCAGAACTAATTAAGAAAGAAAAAAAAACCTTTAGAAACGAAATAATTAAGATGGTTCGTTCCGCTCTTTCTCGGACGAACAGACGCCGCACTGGTGTGGCCCCTCTCAACTACGCTAGCACCCAGTGCGTTCCAAGATAAAATGAGTATCGATCGATTCGCCTGAAGATGCCTAATCTGCTGCTCTCCAGCGATTCCAATCGATACGTATCTAATCTTTTCAGCCGCACAGACCTAAGTCTATTCATTAGAGGCCATTCCAGAGCAGTTCTCAGCTAACTCGAACATCCAGATGTTCACGCCATGTCAAATGACTGCCCTCACCCTACCCCATCCCCTGGATTGCTGACTCCCCCGGCCCGAATCTACCCAGCTTCCTGGAAAAAACTGTATCGCATCCCCCTCTGGAACAGACTTTCAGTCCTACTTCTCCTAATCTGCTACTATCCCAATCTCTCTGCTCTGTCATATATATCGCGTACCATCCTGACCAACCCGTACCATCCCCGAAGTCGCAAACCATGAACGCGGCCTCACCGTTTCTCAAGATCACTTATCTGCAGTGCACTTCAGAACCTAGCCCATGTCCGCAATTGCCAACTCTCCTCTTGACAAAACCCAACCATGACTGCAAGCCTACTGCTTGCAGCACCACAACATGCACCTTCCCTCCTCAATCGATAAGTTTACATACCGACTTCCATTGACAGTGGAAATGTCAACTATGGAACAATGGGACTGCCAGACTAATGACCGCCTCCCAAAATACATTTAATAGCCCCAGACAGAGTGCCCCCCAAAATCCGAAAGGCCCTGTTCAGAGATGTCCGCCGGCGCGAAAAAACGCACAGGCGAAAATCTCCGCCAAGATTTAGATACGCATCGACTGAGAAATTGTGAAACGCGTAAGCGAAACGTCCGGAGCAGGCGAATTTCAGTCAAGAGTTTGATATGTATCGACTGTGAGAAACGCACAGGCGGAAAATCGCGTGAGCGAAGCGTTCGTAAGTCGATGCGTATGATACTCATTTTCGTCGATCCTCCCACTTCACGATTCGCCTGTGCGTCTTCGTTCAGTCGATACATATTTCACATTGTTTCGCCTATGCGTT